CATCATTAGACTCCCTCGCTCGGCTACAGCTGGGCTCCACTTTGCAGTCGATCCTTTCCTGGGGGAGTGCTGCAGAGATGGGAGCTTTCTGGCTCTTACCTGCCTTCTTTGAAGTTCACGCGCACTTGCCTGGAGCTCTCTTCCGTGGTGCTGATACGGAGCCGCTCTTATATAGCCAGGCAGACGGCAGGTATGAGGAAAATAAAAAGGGATGATGAAAGTGCAAACAGTTCTTCCCGGGGTCAACCAAAGGGTGTGCTTCAGCTCCCTGTACCAGCCTGACCCTCGCCAGGACGTGGCTGATAGACTCCAAGGGATGGCGAACAAAGAGCCCTCCGCGCAAGGGCTTGGGAGCGGAGCGCCGTCCCGCATTTGGGCCGGTCTCCCCTGGGGAAAGGGCTGGAGTTTGCAGAGAGGCTTGGGGACCGGTCTCACTTAGCAAAGACATCTAACGTACAGCATTAGCATCCTGCCAAAGGCTTGGGCCATTTCTCATCAGGAGAAAAGTGGTATGCGTGGTTGTTGGTACTACGACGGGCTCGCAGAGCTGTGCTCAGCCCTGCATTGACGGGAGACGCTGCAAGGGCCTCTCCCTGGCGTGCCGCAGCTCCGGATGCCGGGGCAGCCCCCGGGCTCCTTTCAACCCAAGGACCGCAGGCCGGTGCATCTGCACAGGGAGGACGAGCATGCTCCTCTCCATCACAAGCAGCTGGCCTGCTTTCGCCAGACAACCCTGGTTCGCCGCAATCACAGCAATCCACACGAGCGTGCTGGGTTTGCAGCTGTCCACGGCAAAAAGTGCAGATGACGAAACTGCAATGGTGGCGCGCGTGCCACGTCTCTGCTTCTGATTCACCCCGACTATTTTACCTTCTGTAGTTTGGTTTCCAAGTTTCCTCCATTTTGTATTATAGTCATGGCATGTCCTTCATTTTGTATTATATTGATGGCAAGTTATATGATGTTAAAGATATACTAGGTGGTCTATTAATAGGATGCAGGTGGTTTAACATCATCTACTGCAATCGGTTCTTTATAACAGACTTTAATACTCTCCAAATCATAGAAAATGAGGGTGGGAAGGGACCTCAGGTGGTCATATCTAGTCCAACTCCAAGCAGGACCAGCCCCAACTGCATCAAGGCTTTGCCTGTGTCTTAAACACCTCCAAGGATGGAGACTGCACCACCGCTCTGGGTAACCCCCTCCAGTGCTTCACCACCCTCCTCATGAGAGTGTTTCCTAATATCCAACCCCAACTTCCCTTGCTGCAGCCTGAGCCCATTGCTCCTTGTCCTGTATCTGCCCCCACTGAGACCAGCCCAGCTCCAGCCTCTTTGCAGCCCCCCTGCAGGGAGGTGAAGCTGCTATTCAACCCCGCCTCGGTCTCCTCTTCTCCAGACTCAATCAGCCCAGCTCCCTCCGCCTCTCTGCACAAGTCATTTTAATGCTCCAAGATCGAAACATTTCAGAACAATTCATCCCATGAAATATTTAGAGATCTCAAGGTCTGTGTGGATTCAGGGCAAAAACAGTTCATCGCCTGCCACGTGGGACGTTCTTGTCAGGTAGGATTTCATTTCCCGGCAAGCTCCGGTTATGAAGTGCCTCGATACCTGTGGGACGAAAGCACTCGGGGTTAGGTAAATACTGCCCGCGCGGTGCCCTGTGTGGGTGAGTGAGCGCGTTTCAGGAGAGCATGAGAAGCTGGTCTTGGGGTTTTTTTACATTCAGGGAAATGGTGTTTGAATAAGCAACTGGCAGAACATTTTCTACTCCCATCTCATGCGCTGGAACAATGCAGACCGGAGACTCCAAGGCTTCACAACCCTCAAGTGCTTCCGTGGCTTGCTTCACTCTTAGCACATACCAGCTCCCTTCCCTCCTCCTGTCCGCGTGCCGCAGATTCAGGCTGCCCTGGAGGTCTGCAGATGCGACTTGGACCCTGGACGTTGGTCTAAATCAGGAGCCAGGCCGCTGCTGGCAGTGGGTTGCACGGGGGGGAAAGGATTTCCAAGTTTCCTGTAGTGCCATGGGTGACATTTTAGGCAAAGTGAATTGTTAGCCAATTTGCACGTTCACAAACGGTTCACACGGCACTAAGACACGGCGTGGATTTACTGCGGGTGGAGGCGTGGGTGCTCCCTTGCACGGCTCCCCCGAGCCCAGGTGGGCAGAGACGCTCTGAGCCTCTTCCTTGCACCTCTGACAAGGGCCGGGGGCAGACAAGGGCTGGGGGGAGACAAGGGCCGGGGGAGCTAGGGATGGAGTCGCCGGGAAGTAATCAGGGGCTTGGGGAGCCGAAGGCTGGAAGTTGCCGCTCCAGGGTGGTGGTAGCACATTTAGTGCCTTCTCTCCTATTAGCCCCTATCCCTTTCCTTCTGCCCTGCCCCTAGCATTTCTTCCCACCTTTGCCTGCTTATAGAGTATCCAACTCCAGCAGTCACTGCAGTCGCACTGCACAGCCAGACACAGCATTTTCCGGCTTCAAGGAAAAGGTGAAGCAACCAGGGTATCAGATGCTGAAAGACACTCATGCAACACTCACCCCGAGGGCCAGGCTTACAAGCACCAGTCAGAAGCAGGGTTTTTCCTCGATGAAACTCCAGAGGAAAACTTTTCGCTTCATTTGCACCCGGTTTTCCCCTCCCAACATGTTTGGGGAAATTTGCTTTTTTCATTTAAAAAAAACAAAACACCTGAATATTTCCAGCTATTTTGCAAAACCACAGCAACAAAATGGGCTCCTGAGGTCCTGCGCTAGGGTGGTGGGTGATGCAGCTAAACCTGAGCCAGGGGTAGAGGACTCAAGTGATTGCGGGTGGCTGGGGCTCCTCTTCCTCCCCCCCCCCCGGGACAGCCTCAGGTGGGCACAATTAGGCAGTTAGGGGCCGCAGACGAGGCAATGCAGCCCGCAGAGCATCACAGCACAGCACAGCGGGGCTGGAAGGGACCTCTGGAGGTCACCTAGCCCAACCCCTGCCTGAAGCAGGATCATCCCTGTCCAAACCATCCCAAACAAACCCGAATCGCCCCGTCATTCGCAATGCAGCCCGATGGCTACTAGGTGTCACCCTTGCTTTACGCACAGGTCAGACGGCTGACGCAATGTTAGCACACAGCAGCCAGCCGGGAGACGGAGACAGCTAGCCAAGCTAACTGCCTCTCCCAGATTCATGCTGCCCACCTGCAAGTGCTCAGAGGCCTGCAGGAGCACAGGCTTCGGTGGTAATATAATATCGTTAGCATTATTCACGCTGCGCTTATCCCAGCGGCTGGCAGCTGCAGCAGCGTGCGAGCTTGGAGCCAGCGCCGGCTCGGTGCAAGAGCCCAGGGTTGCGTGCATGGGGGTGCAGCCTGCAGCCACCCCGCGCTGCTTCGGTCCTCGCCTGCGCGGTGATTCAGTGTCCTCGTGGGAGGGCAGGGCTAGGATTCAGAGTGACCTGAATGGAGTGGGCCAAAAGACATCTCCTGAGGTTCAGCAAGGACACGTGCAAAGTCCTGCGCTTAGGTTGGAGCGATCCCCTGCACCGGGGCAGGCTGGGGGTGACGGGCTGGGCAGCAGCTCTGCAGAAAAGGACCTGGGGAGACAGGGGACAAGAAGATGGATACGAGCCAGCAGCGTGCCCTTGCTACCATGAAGGCTAACAGCATCCTGCGCTGCATCGGCAGGGGGGGGGGCAGCGGGGGGGGGGG